ATGTTAAAAAAAGGGAAACTAATAAATAAAATGCAACAAAATAATTTTTTATGGTATACTTTTATGCTGTATTTAATATAATTTATAAAAATATTGCAGACTATTGATTAGTATTTATGATCAATTTCATAATATGAGTAACTTTCATTTACTTTAAATAAAAATATTAAAAAAATTTAATAAAATAAACAATTATGGAACTTGTACAATGCGAAAAAAAACGAAACACACTGAATAACTTTCGATCCAATGATCGGCTCTATCTCAATGGTTCAAGATAGTGACTTCAAATATGCAAATTAATTAGTGCAGCCGATATATTAAGTTACAAAATGAGGCACATAAACATACTTTCTCTAAATAAATATGCCTTTTGTTTCAAGGGATTCGGATTTCTGACCCCAAAATTATAGGGGGCTGCAGCAATCGGGGGAATATGGTCGCAAAACAAATTTTTCAAGAGAGCGTTTCAAACTTTGGATCCCTTAATGTTAATTTCATTTCTAGCGAAATTCGCCATATCTCGAGAACTTCTTAAGACGTTCACGCCGGGAAAAGTGAAAATACTGGTACGGAAAAGATAAAATACTGGTAGAAGAACTATTTCAATATTAGATAATATTCAGGAGGAGTTAACCTATTCTCAACAATAACAATTCACTGTTAGGAAATTTATCACGGCGAAGAAGCAATTCAATATAAAAATTGCATCCGTTAAAAACAATTGGTAGTTATAGATACTNGCGCGAATGGGTTAATGTTAATTTCATTTCTAGCGAAATTCGCCATATCTCGAGCACATCTTAACACGTTCACGCCGGGAAAAGTGATAATGCTGGTACGGGAAAAGAGAAAATACTGGTAGAAGAACTATTTCAATATTAGATAATATTCGGGAGGAGTTAACCTATTCTCAACAATAACAATTCACTGTTAGGTAATTTATCACGGCGAAGAAGCAATTCAATATAAAAATTGCATCCGTTAAAAACAATGGGTAGTTATAGATTTTTATTATTCCCGGAAAAAAACTAAAAATTGAAATTTATTGTTACCAATTTTTACTCCGGTGCGCTGCCAAGATGAGACGCGTGATCCACCGTTGGGTCACCCCGGCGTGAAAGTGTTAAATGGATTTAATTTAATGAGACATGATAAAATAATGTTCTCCATAATCAAGGACTGCGTAGCTATCCTTTTATTAAACACTGAAGAGTTAACAGATTTATCAAGCATTGGCAGGGAAGTAAAATTCTAATTAACTCTAATTTTCAATAGAAACTGGTAGTAATTTTAATTTACTAGCATAATTTTATTGGAGTAAATTAATATAACACAGTATTCAACAAAGTAAAATTAACATTAAGGGGTCCAAATTTTGGATCACTCTTCACACCAAACTATGAGAACCATATTCCCCCGATTGCAGCTATCCCTCCATAGTTAGGGGGTTGGAAATCCAAAGCAGTCGAAAAAAGGTATACTTATTCAGATAAAGTATATTTTTGTGTCTAGTTTAGAAACTTAAAATATCGTCTGCACTAGTCAATTAGCATATTTAAGATTACCCCTTTGAATCATTAAGAAAGAGTCCTAGAATGTGAAGATCCGATCATTAAATTTATTTTAAAATTTATTCTAAGTGGCCCATTTTTTTTTTCTGAGCACTGTACATAAAGATTTTGCTTTTCCTCCCTCCTCAAAATTTATAATCTATTTCAACGAGCGTAACTTTAACCGAAACTGTTTTAACCACCCAATGAATGATGACGCTGACAAAATAAGACCTTTATTTTTTCTCCCACCTTTTAATTTCTATTTCATTTGCTTTGAGTAAATACTTCACTTGTGTTAATTTTCGGTTTAAGTTTTAATTAAATTCTTTTTTTTTCTTTGTTCTAAACGCTTTTTTTTCGTAGAATTATTTCTGTTTATTTATTTTGCTGCGGAGAAAAAAAAAATTTGAGTCTCACTCAAATTTTTTCGAGCACACTTTATTATCTGTGATCGTTATTATTTTGAAAGAGAAAACGTATTTGTGGGAGTGCTGTGACTTCTAATCGTAAAAGTGTGGTACCATAAAAATAAAAAAAATCTTGTTAGCATCAACGTAAATGCTAAATTTTATGTTGATGCTAACCTTGAAACGTTTGAACCCTTGAATCGTATGAACGAATTCGTTTGAACCCTGTGAATACTGTTATGCCCAGAGTTGTCACACTCCTATGTGTCCATTTAATGCCCAGTGGACACATTCCTTCAATTAAATTCATTATTGATTTTCTAAAAAAAGATAAAGCATAAATGTAATAAGCACATTCATTCCCAATAACTCCGTTTAAAAGCGCTGAATAAAAATTGTCTGAAATGTCAATAAAGAAACAAATTAAAAGTATTCGCTTTCACTATAAAAACAGTGTTTTTTACTTTGCTGATTAAGAATCAAGGATTTTGTCAAGAAATATACCTAGCGATAAAACAGAGGTTCTATGGAATGGTTAGTAAGATTCCAAACGCTATGATTTTTCATTTTTGTTTTAACCAGAAGGATTTTAAAAACCTGTAATTAATTACATTTAAGTCAAATAAATATTCCTTTATTTTTTCAATATTTCGTTTGGTTTCATGAAATTAAAGTAAAATGCAATGAAAAATAAATGGCAAATTTTTTTAAAAAATTTATAATTTTCATAATATTAAATAAATTATGAAAATAACATGTATTTATGAAAACATTGCATAAGTACTTCCTATCGAATTTTTTAAATCAAAATAGAATAACTGAATTTGAAAAATATTCTCCCTTTAAAATTTTTAACGCCTATAGAAATTCTTTATACTTTTCACTTAAACGGAAACCAAAATTAGGTATATTTTATTCATTTTCAACTTCTGTGTGTACACCGAAGACAAATTCAGAAACAAACTACATTCAATTCCAACAATGCGAGTTCAACTTTCTGACATAAAATCAAGTTTAATATTAATTATAAAAAGATGAAGAAAAAAATGCACTCCATTTACAATTTTATTTTATTTTATATTATATTTATATTTTGATATTTATTTATATTTTGATACTTATTTATATTTATATATTTTCATTGTTTATAGTTATATATTTATATTTATATTTTGATATTTTCATAGATTATAGTTATATATTTATATTTATATTTTGATATTTATTTATATTTGATACTTATTTATAATCATATATTTTTATTAATTATATTGATATTGATTATATTTTATTTTATATTTATATTTTGAGTTTGCGACTACCAATGTTCAACTTCGTAACCTTGTAATTATGAACCCAATCCAGAAGACAAGGGAACTCCTGGATCAAGTATTGGAAGAAATTTGCTTTTGTGGTGGACTTTTAGATGGAATTAATCCGCATTTGAGGTACATGGAGAGGAAAACCACGAAAATCTCCCTCGGATAGCCTGACGGAAAGGGGACTCTAAGCCATGATCCGTCTACCCTGATGATATTTCTTATCAGCACTCTGTTCGGTATGAGTCGGGGTGGAAATTCGTATCTATCAGCCATCACTGGGATTCGAACCGGGGCACCTTACTGGGAGGTGAGTGCTCAATCCTCTGAGTCAACACGGCTCACATTCCGCTTGTTAAATGTTTTAAAAATAAAATAGTCTTTCATTGGTTTTTAGATTCACAATTGTCTTTTAATTTCTAAAATAAAGTCGATCATTTAGAATTTGATAGACAAAAAAAAAGGGGGGGGGGAATTTAAATCACTCCTATAGATAAGAATGTTATCTACAAAAATTATATTTAGTTTTTTAAAAAAAACATTGATAAAAGTATCACAAATCTGGGAAATGTTTTTGCAATATTCAAATGAGACAAATGTAAACGTTTTACAGAAGCCTTTGAGAAAATTAAGTTATACTTTATGATTATTTCTGTATCGTAAACAACTCTGACTTATATAGTTTATATTTGTATTTGATACTGTTACCCATAATTGTAAACGAGTAACAAGTTTATCGCCGTTACTTTCACAAATACTGCATACAAATCTTTTAACCTGTTTTTTATCTCAACTATCAGATGCCAGCATTTCAGATGCTTTAATAACTGCATAAGATTTCAAGCCATCGGATGTTTTCAGTCAGATGTTTTCAGTCTTAGATGTTTTTCAAATGTTCTAATACTGCATAAAAATCAGTTAACCGGTTTTATATTTGGATAAAGCCTTTTTCTAAATAATTAGTAACTGTTTTCTAACAGTTCTTAAATTATAGTTTCTGAATTATTTTTTTAGCAAAATGTGGTTATAAATATTAATATGCTGGTGACTAGCTACCGGTAAAATAATGGTACCTTTTTTATCAAAAAAGAAAAGAGAGCACAAGATTATTCACTATAAGGGTTCATGTTGCAAAACCGAGAACAATCAGCCTACCATAACATATTAATCACATGAATATTTATATAATGACTATATGTTGTTGTAGTTCATTTTCGTCGCACTAGAGCTGCACAATGGGCTATTGGCGACGGTCTGGGAAACATACCTGAGGATGATCCGAAGACATGCCATCACAATTTTGATCCTCTGCAGAGGGAATGGCACCCCCGCTTCGGTAGCCCAACGACCTGCACGCGAAGTCGAGCACTTTATGGTAGAACAGTTTAACGAGGACCAATACCACACACCCTCGGTCCCTACGCAGACTGATCCAAGTTGTCGCCCACCCGCACACTGACAGCAGCCAGTGATGCTTGACTTCAGTGATCTGCTGGGAACCAACAATCAGTCCACTGCGGGACAATGACTATATGTAAATGATCGTGCAAATGCACTGTAGAAAAATCTTTTATTTCCTTTTTTTCCCCTTTCTAAATGGTTGAAAGCAGAAAATGCGTTAAACTACTTAAAACTATAGAAAGAATAGTAATTATAGGACAGTGAGTTGAAAATTAGCGTCCAATGAAATGAAATATTTAAAAAAAATGAGTACTTACAACGTTGATGAGCTGAATGAAGGAGAGGCCAAACTCTACGACCACCGTCTGATTCATAACTTCGACGGGACGGATGAGCTTGTTATAGTCCCGGAAGAGGTCGCGTACCAAGCGCTCCTCGTCCTCAGAACTCCGCACTGAAACAAAACAAGAAGCCTCATCAATAACAATGTAACCTTATAGCCTAAATTTTAATTATTAACCACTTGAGCTAAAAAGAAATTCGCTGATAAATTCATCGACTACAAATCTCTGTGGGGAGTTAAATTATCGATAAAGAATAACATCTATTCCTTATAGAAATATATACGAAGAGCTTAGTGGAAGAACCAGATAAGTGAAATTTTCAGAGAGGTCATAATCAGGGTATCATAGATGTATTAGAAGGTGGGACTAATGATTCTTTGTCTTATTTTATTTACCAGTACCTGATTTGAAATAAAAACCATGCAGGCATACTCAAAACTAATTTGGATAAGTTATGCGGCCATTAAAGTGAAAGAAAAAACAATTCTCATCAATCCAATCCAATGCCCACCTGGAGAATCACCTTTCATAAAACAGGCATCTGAAGGGGCAGATTTGTTGGCCACTCTTTCAGGGGCACCATATTAGATGGGCCAACGTTGCTCCCACAGTATGGACAGATAGTACAGAGAATGAAAAAACATACATGCATTGGCCAGGTTTCGAACCCAGAACCTTTCTGTGCAAGGTCGGTTCCCTGATCCCTACACAGTCCGATCAGCTGTTAAGAAAACGTACCAGACCCATTTTATACTAATAGATATTAGCAAAGACTCAAAAATTAATTTACTGCTTGCATTAAAACCTTCGATGTTTTTGTTTTCTTCACCAAACTTCACACTTTTTTTCTTCACAATACTTAATAATTTAAAAACATGTCTTTAATTATGAAGTCTCTTGCTTATAATATTTAACTTCAAATTAAGAATGTAAATTTTTTGGTACAAAACATTTGTCGAAACATCTCATATATATTTCTATATTTCTATTGCTTTTTAATACTTCTATTGCTTTTTAAAATTTCGCATTTCAATCTTACGATTTAATGTAAAAAAATTTGGAATTGATATTAGAAAATATTTTCAAAATAGGAGGATATAATATTTGTGTGATATATTTCAAAACATTAAATATTTGTCGACGTGAGTTTAATTATATGTGGTAAAACTTGTGTTGGAGTAAACAGAATAAGTTCTGAATAATAAACATTTGAAAATCCGGAAATAAACTACTCAAACCAGTTGAATTTTGCGGTAACCGTGGGTAATATTGCATGTTATTCTTTCGCTGTAATTTCCTGTCAGCAGATATGAAACTATTCTTATATAGCATATATTTTACTGATAAGTTTATTGCATTCAGTTGGGATATTTTTCATTTGCAGTTTAACGTGTCTGGTAAAAACTGCGAATTTCGGGCTAGATAATAAATTTTAAAAAAAAGATTAAAAATTTGTTTATTTGATTTAAAAACTGGATTTGTTTTGTTCTTATAAAAATCTTTGATAGACAGTCGGAAAACGGTTTATCAGGGTTAACACTTTATTCGTTTAATAGAGGGTACTATGCAAAGCCGGGGATAAGAATTAAAAATACTTCATCACATTATAGTAGTGTTCTAATTAGCATTACAAAATTAATTAATTAGAAATTGTACGCATTTTATTTATCTGCTAAAAATACAGTGTAAATTGAGAATGAATTAGCTAATTCCAATTCGGTTCTTAAAAATCCCTCTTCCTGATAGTATCCTACAATTGATACTTTTGAAAAATTGTATCCCCAAAATATCTCTCAAAATAAAAAATATCAAAAATAGTTGGTTTGTATCTTTCCTCCGCATTTTTAGAATACAATGCAATAATTTTTCTCATACATAACTTTCTGCAGTTAATGGCAAATGAAATTAATGACAAAAGTAATTGCAAATTGAACCAAGGTCGTGTGGCTAAAGAAAACTTGTGCAAATTACTAGTAAACGTAAGATTACATCGTTTTTTAAATCGAAAATGGAGGCTTGGCAAGACAAAAAATTTTCTCCTTATCTTGTTTTTTAATATTTTATCTGAAAAATATTATGTGTTATAAATGTTATCTTGTAAATTACAATAGGTTTTCAATACGCTCTCTAATAAGTCAGTAAAAAAAAGTAAAGCATTCCAGCAACAGCCCAAAGCCGGCGTTTATGTCCATGTAGGCCAGAGGTGCCATGGAGATTAACACGTTCACGCCGGGAAAAGTGAAAATACTTGTACGGGAAAAGAGAAAATAGAAGAACTATTTCAATACTAGATAATATTCGGGAGGAATTAAACTATTCTCAACAATAACAATTCACTGCACGGAAATTTATCTCGGCGAAGAAGCAATTCAATATAAAAATTGCATCCGTTAAAAACAATTGGTAGTTATGGATTTTTATTACTCCCGGAAAAAAACTAAAAAATGAAATTTATTGTTACCAGTTTTTACTCCGGTGCGCTGCCATGATGAGACAATCTAGCGTGACCCACCGGTGGGTCACCCCGGCGTGAACGTGTAAAGGATTCACAATTTCGTGACCAGCGGAATGATTGTAGCAATGGTGATAGCATTGCGCTGAAGCGGCATTTATTTCCCCAACAAGCTGGTACCCATTGACCTGAAGATAGATGAGCTTCAAGCCACTAAAAGGAATCGAAACCTAGTTCTTCACAATGACTGTTCAGTACTTTAACCACTGAGCCATAGCTGCTCTCAACAAGTCAGTATATAAACTTATAAAATCTTCGTATAATGTCATCGTATTTTATGTAGATGAAACTAGTATATTGTTATATTTATGTATATTTTATTGTGCCATGCATATTATTAGATATATTTACATGATCATTCATCTCAATTTATGTTCTTTTAATCCTACTGAAGATGGAAATCGGTTCGATTGGAGCCTTCAACAACGGAGGCAAATCGATCTATCAAATCACATTACAAACAAATACTTTCTCGATCATTACTCATTTCTAGTTTAACCAGCAGGTTCAATACTAAAATGCTGTTAACCACTTTTAATTAAACATGGAAATTAAATCTCATCATAAGGATATTAAATATCATTGAATTTACAAAAATAGCTAGCTTCTTTCTGATTTAATTTAGGTTTCTAACTATCAAAAATGCAGCCTAATTAAATATTGACGCACCAGAATCGTAAAATCCGTCTAAACATAGTACTCAATAGTTACAGTCTTATAATTATCTTCACTCACGAATGAAAAACATGGTATTCGGCGAAAGTTAAACCAGAAATAGTTAGTTATTAGGTAATTATTATCAGTTTGGGTGTGGTACACTTGAAATGACTTGAAAATCGACCTGTTCAGCAGTAGACGTTGACATGTTGCTAATATATCATACCGATACGATTTAGAAGCATATGCACGACGTACGATTTAGATAATTGCGTAAAATTTTAAACAAAGCGTTATTCCGAGTCTCAAACAAAAGTTAGCTAGCAAAGAAACAAGTAGAACATAACAGAATAAGTTCCTTAACAAACATGATATATTAAATAATCAGTGCATTATTTTAACCGCTATATCCTTACGCAGGGTGTTCAAAAATTATCTTGAAAACTAGTTAACTGATTCGCTTAAATAAAAACTTAACGCCTGTACACAGCGATCGTTTCTTCTGCATGGATCTTTGTCTGAAAACGCTTTCTAATTTATCTACTGGAACGTTCTGAATACAATGCCTCTTCAATCAAAGATGGCACAATTATGGTGAGAAACGATATAGGTCAGAGGTTCCCAATTTTTCTTTACAATGGAACCCTATTTGTTCAACCTCCTTTAGATGGAACACCTACTCAATAAATGAAGTATATAAGGCAATTGTGGATTTATTGGTTTATTAAGGACCATTTTGAAATATTTTTAAAAAGGAATGAAGTTTTTCATCGGTTTACCAATTAATAATCTAAATTTGTTTTCATGCCCGACAGTTAAATTCACAGTCCTAGAAATGCATTTAGTCTAGTTATGAATTTGAAGTTGGTGAGCAGTACGCCAAAAAAATGGACCACCCTAAATAACTTTTGATCTAATGATAGAATTTTAGCGCTCCAGGATTCATTCTTAATAGTTCGAGGGGAAGATCTCAAATATGCTAATTAATTAGCGCAGGCGATATTTTAAATTACGAAATCAGACACAAAAATGCATTTTTGCTGAATAAACATACCTTTTTTTAAGACGGAATCAGATTTCTGACCCACAAAATTTAGAGGGTAGTCCCAATCTGGGAAATATGGTCCCCAAAATTTGATCAGGAGAGCGAAATAAAGCTTGAACTTCATAATGTTAATTTTATTTTTTGCTTATTTTGCCATATTTCAAGAACTTTTTGAACGAATTGAAAAAAATTTGCATTCAATTATAAAATTCGTTTATCCAAAGATAATTCCATGCAAAAAATAAATTTTAGTTAATATTATTATTTTTTTAAATTTTATTTAATAATAGTCGAAAAAAGTTTGAACTGTAAGGTATACAATTTTAAATTATATACTTTTATATTTTAAAATACAAATTTGAGTGAAATCTGTTGAATAATTCCTGAGAAATCAAAATTAAAATAATTCGTATACTGGAAATTCGATTTCTCAGGAACAATTCAACCTATTTCGCTCAAATTTTGTTTAAAATTACTTATTTAAAGGTGATATAAAAAATTACAAACCTTACAATTCAAAATGTTTTAGACTATTAGTAAATAAAAAAATTAAAAATAATAAATATTAACCAAAATTTATTTTTTGCCTGAAATTATCTTTGGATAAATAAATTTTATAATTGTTTGTAAAAATATTTCAATATACTTAAAAAGTTCTCGAGGTATAGCAAAAGAAGCAAAAAATTAACAATACGAAGTCTAAACTTTGAATCGCTCTCCTGATCAAAATATGGGAACCATATTTCTCAGATTGCGGCTATCCCCTATATTATGGGGATTAGGAATCCGAATCCATTGAAAAATAGGTATGTTTATTCAGGGAAAAGGAGTTTTTGTGTCTGATGTCGTAACTTAAAATATCGTCTGCACTAAAATTAATTAGCTTATTTGAGGTC